AAAAAAAGAGTAAATCTTGCTCTACACGGGACTCTTCTGAGGTTAAATTGTTTTTTAAACGCGATGTCTCGGGCAGTTTTACTGCTCTTCTTCAGGCAACGTATCTCCAGCTCAGTATGACGGACGTTGTAAACAGGAGAGGTTCTGAAAGTTTCAGAAAAACTGTTAAATAACATTTTTCAGTTCGTGGATATCGATGGCAATCCGTGTTAATCTTCTCCATCCTTATGCATCTTTGTTCCTTAAGTTTATGCTTTATTATTATCTCTTTGGTCTTTTTCTACCTTAGTCAACTATTACTTTCAGGTTTCCTTCAATTAAAAGTAATTTTGTACGTGGCCAGAAAAACTCACAATACCGTGGCTGAGCTCCTTAATTTGCGCAACCTTTCTCATATTTGCGCGTTTGTAAGTTAATCTCTCGGTGTCTCGCTTAAGGAGGGGGGTGAATAGGGGTATGCAAATCCGCCGATCCGTGCCATTTTTTCGCCAAATCCGTCGATCCGCCAATATTTTTGTTCAAATCCGAAACCACAACCACATCCGGAAACAGAAGTGTAAAAGTTCAAAGGTAAACTGATAAATGTGAATGCCATTGTTAATTTTGTAAAGAAGGCAACATGCCTGATGACTATAACACAGTACAATTCCAATGACTGTTTAAATGAGCTTCCTTGTTAAAAAGAAATAATTTTGGATGAACTCATTAACATACCGACCAAGGCTGAAGAAAGATCTATGATCCAAATTTCGTTTAGGACCNAAAAACTGTTAAATAACATTTTTCAGTTCGTGGATATCGATGGCAATCCGTGTTAATCTTCTCCATCCTTATGCATCTTTGTTCCTTAAGTTTATGCTTTATTATTATCTCTTTGGTGTTTTTCTACCTTAGTCAACTATTACTTTCAGGTTTCCTTCAATTTAAAAGTAATTTCGTACGTGGCCAGAATAAATCACAATACCGTGGCTGAGCTCCTTAATTTGCGCAACCTTTCTCATATTTGCGCGTTTGTAAATTAATCTCTCGGTGTCTCGCTTTTTAAGTGCTGGAAGCTTAAGGAGGGGGGTGAATAGGGGTATGCAAATCCACCGATCCGTGCCATTTTTTCGCCAAATCCGTCGATCCGCCAATATTTTTGTTCAAATCCGAAACCACAACCACATCCGGAAACAGAAGCGTAAAAGTTCAAAGGTAAACTGATAAATGTGAATGCCATTGTTAATTTTGTAAAGAAGGCAACATGCCTGGTGACTATAACACAGTACAATTCCAATGACTGTTTAAATGAGCTTCGTTGTTAAAAAGAAATAATTTGGATGAACTCATTAGCATACCGACCAAGGATGAAGAAAGATCTATGATTCAAATTTCGTTTAGGACCTAAGATCAGAAAATCAAGACAGGCAGAATCCGGAATCCGCACCAAAATTCAGCTGATCCACGATCCACTGTGTTTTCAAAATCCGCGAATCCGCTCGATTTACGGCAAAAATCTACAATCCGCGAGCTTTTTAAGGCCAAATCCGTCGATCCGAAAACCTATTCATCCCCCTCCTTAAGGTACAATCACGCTTGGATAAAGAATGGATGATAAACAAGTTTGCATGACTTTAGCCAGTCCTCTGCACGTTACAAACAAGTCTGGAAACAAAATCACGTAGTTAAGCGTCAGGCAAACAGAAAACAGATGAAATTTGGCCGAACAAACTGCATATAAACATAGCAAACAAACACTAAATCAGGAGCTTGGAAAATTTCCAGTAAAGTCAAGAAATTATTTTTCTGCATGGGCGAGTCATTTCTGCGTAC